CTTGTCAGGCTGAATGTCAAGGTCCATTGAGTCGTCTGCCTCCCCAGCAAACAAGAACCATCTTCTAGAGTCTGGCTGTGTCTCCTCTGCTCCTGAAGAGAACGTCTGCCACTTAAAGTGTTCTGGTGAATGAAGAGAAGGCAGAAGAAGATGAGCTGTGGAGAACAGGGTGAAAGCGGTTTTAGAGTTACATCCAGACACTGCCACTTTGTACACGGGCTCAACTTGGGGAGGTCACATCAAGTCCCATCTCTAACCCAACTTTCTCTCTCATAAAATGAAGATAATTTGATAGTTCTCAGAGGGTTTTGAGTTTGGGTGTTTATTTATTTAGAGACAGAGTCTCAGTGTGTGTGACCCGACTGGCCTCAAAGTGACTGGCAAGCCTCCTGTCACAGCCTCTGGAGTACTGGGGGCCTTTAAGTATGTTCCACCACACCCAGCATGGTGTGTGCTAGATAGGGGCTCTTCTGCTGAATCACAGCCCCGCCCACCATTCATTCTTTATTGGTGGGACATTTACTATGGTCTGTTGATCTCATTTTATTTGCAACTTTTCCAAGCAGGGCTGGGATTATAGCTCACTGGTAGGGCATTGGGCAAGCCACTGCCCTGGGCCTTAATTCTTCATCTGTGAAGGGGAGGTTATGATAATAGTGTTTTCCTCATATAACAATTATAGGGGAGGCAGATAATGTACATAAAGCATTTAGTACAGCATATTGTACAACTAAGTAGGAACTCAGTAAATTGTAGCCAATACTTTGTAAGCACCAGTCAGTCTCATGATCCCTTATGACCTTCTAGAAAGCAGGGTATTGGTGGCACATACCTTTAATCCCAGCACTGAGGAGGCAGAGCCAAGTCTACAGGGTAAGTTCCAGGATAGCCAGGACTGTTTCACAGAAAAACCCTATCTCAACCCCACCCCAAAAAAAAAGACCTTCTAGGGACTAGTGTAATACCAAGATTCCTGCAAATCCCTGGGGGTCAGGAATTATCAGTATTACTGGTCTATCTCCTGCTTTGTTCAACCTGTGGGCCAGCACTACAACAAAACGCAGCACCGCTCAGCTCTGCAGCCATTTCCACGAACACCCTACTTAAGGCAGCCCCTTGGTATTGTAAGACTTTTCTATAGAGTTCTAGAGTAGGAACCAGAGACACCACAGCTCAGGGTGAGCTGATAACCCTGTGGCTTCCCAAACAGATGCAGCTGGCTCTTTTGTTGTTGTGCTGTTTTGTTGTTCAAGTTATGTTTTGTTTTGGGTGTTTTTTTTTAATGTTGTTTTGAGACAGGGTCTATGTAGTCCTGGCTGTCTCAGAACTTGCTCTGTAGACCAGGTTGGCTTTGAACTCTCAGAGATCCACCTGCCTCTGCCTCCTGAATGCTAGGATTAAAGGAGTGCCCCTTTGTTTTGCCTTTGAGGTAAATTCTTACTATGAGGCCTAAGCCAGCCTTAGAATACAGAGGCCTTAAACTTGTGACAGTCCTCTTGCTTCTGTGTCCCAAGGGCTGGGATTACAGAAGTCCACCACCTTGCTCAGGTGGCCTGGGCCTCTTTTATAAATTACATTTAATGTGTGTGAGAGAGGAGGAGAAGAGGGAGGGAAGGAGGGAGGGAGGAAGAGAGGGAGGGAGAGAAGACACAGATGTGTATGCTTTCGGAGGTCAGAGGACAACTTGCAAGAGTCAGTTCTCTCCTCCTACCATGTGGGTCCTAGAGATGGGACTCAGGTCATTAGGCTTGGTGGCCAGTGCCTTAACTTACTGAGCCATCTCATTGGCCCCTGGTCTAGACCTCTCGATCCTCTTGTCTCAGCTTTGCAAGTGCAGATGTGTGCCACCACACCCAGCTCACAGATGGCTGCTGTTTCCACTGGCACAGCTCCCAGCTCTCTGTCATGGGCCATCTCCTGGTAGCTCCTGATAATAGGCATGCATTTTCTGTCTTTCCAACGCCCTTCCAAGCATCACACCATTGTAAAAGTATAGTGGTCCTGCTCTGTCATTCACACAGTCCCTCAAGAGTGGGCACACACAGTTATTGCACACATGTCATTCATGGCAGGTGCCCTCCGCAGACTTCTTGCTGCCCACCATTCCCTAGAGTCCTCAACCCCCACCTGCTCCCCAAATCTACCTCCTCCAGACACTGGCAGCTTACTTGAGCCCCACCTCTTCTCACTGGCCACTCTCAAGCCGTTTGGGGAGCACATCCAAGTCCCCCAAGTCTGAGAGGAGCATCTGCCTCTCAGAAATTCAAGGCCACACCCTCACCTTAAATAGTATTTTCCCAATGAGAATTAGCCTCTTCCCAAAAGTGGAGGTCACGTACTGAGGGTGGGTAGCACCTAGTCTTCCAAGCGTGTTTTTAAAACCGAAACACTGAAAGATTCCAAATAAGATAGATCATGGAACGTGACTTCTATTTTTCCTTCAGAAAATCCGGCATTACAGAGCCCACACTTCTTCCCAAGAGGCATGTCGCCGGAGTGGAGGGGGTCCCGGCCCTTCAAGCTTATTTTTCTTATGCTTCTGCCCACTGCCATATTTATCTTTCTTCCTTGAATCTTGCAGGTTTTCAAATGTGTGGCCTTTGCTAAGAGGCGTTTTAGGGTCCATTCCCACCTCCTGCTACCTTGTTATTATGAATTTTGGTCTGAAATTTCTCAGGCTGTGGGCAGTATTCAAATGATGGCTGTTACTGGAGTGCCAAGGCAATCAGAGGATTAGGGTCTCCAACAGGAAGGGCTAATAGGGCTGGAGGGGGCATTCGAGGCCAACATAGTGCTTCCTCTTACTCGGTTTTACCCTATTTAGTTTTGCAGTCCTACAGATTGAACCCAGGGCCTCTACCACAGAAAACACCCCTAGTCCCTGAAGGGGTTTAAACCAAGAGGTGTGCATATTAGAAGCTCTGCCCCACACTCCCTCTCACAGAGAAGCGGGAGTAGTGAATGGTCCAGGAAGACCCGGGATGCTGCAACCTGCAACAGAACTGCCTGTGCCAGAGGCGGTGGGAATGGCTGGGAGGATTGCAGAGAAAGGATTTTGAGGCATTCCCTGCCAAAGAGTGGGTACGCTTCGCTTGACCTTGGCGGAAAACACTGCGGGCATTGCGGCTACAATTTGCTGGTTCTCCCCTCCCTTCCTCTCCGATGCAGAGGACTGC